GAACCAGGAGTTATTAGAGTCAAAGATTTAGAAGAACCTGGTGGATCTGACGTCTCTACAATGGTGATCATGAAGTGAGAGATCATCTTCATCCACTGATCAAAATACTTTTGAAAGCATCCTTTGAACAACTTGATACTAGTTTAATTGAAAAATGACATAAGATGGTTTTATGTAGTTTTTAGAGGATAATACATATTGCCATAATTAGACCAGGAAAAAAAGAGAACATTTACTATAATCATTACTCTAAAAAATAGAACTAGTACTAGTAAGAAAATCATAATTTTTCAAAAAAGAAAAGAAAAGCAAGCAAAGACAAAAAAAGATATCAGGCTCACAGCACAGAAAGGTGTGAAATTTCCCCAGCATTGAAAGAGTTGCTAATTGCAAACCTTTGGTACCCAAAATAGATAAAGTTGGAAAAGATAATTATCAGCCAATAACAGATAGATGAAAAACTAGCCAATTAAACTCAACAGTGTATAAAAAGACCAAGTAGTTTTGCTTGAAAACATGAATGAGCCAACATTAGAAAAATCTATGAATGCAATTCACCCCTGACCAATTAAAGAATAAAAAGCGTACAATTATATCAATGGCTATAGAAAAGGAACAGTTGAAAACTTAACAACCCATTCATGATAAACGTGCAAACAAACCAGAATAGTAAGGAACTTTCTTATTCTGCAGACAAACTTCAAAATGTAACCAGTAATTTCTCTACTTCACTCCCTCACTTACGTTTTTTTGTACAATGCTTTCTAATTTTGCTGATTGAAATGCCGAGTTGACCATGAGACTGGTTTGAGGTGTCTGTAAGCCCGGGAACAACTGTCCGATTTAAATAGTGTTAAGATTTACTCTATTAAAACATTACTCTATTAAATTGGCTGGTTTATTTTTCTTTTATAAAAAGGAATATCTAACAGACATCTATAGTAAGCCTCACATTTAATGGTGAATGTAGCAGAGAAGCATTTAAATTATAATCTGAAAACAAGGCAAAAATGTATCTAAAAGTACTATTATTCAATATTATAACCAAATTTATTCATTTCATAACCAAAACCACTAAGTCAAGAGAAATAAGAGATAAAAATCAGGATGGAAAAGTCAAAACTACCAAAATGTACGGATGATATAGTAACAAATAAGCCCACAAATCATCAATATATTCTCTTAATTTTCAGAAAAAGAACACTATTCGTGCTCAAGTTTTTCAGACTATATCTAGTTTATTTCAGCTAAAAATAAAATAAGGATCATGTAATTTGTTTAAAAATAGTCATTTTCCAGTTTATAATGTCAGGATCAGGGCTTCCTTTCCTTTCTTATGGGTTTCAATTCCATCTTGTTTCTAATTTCAAAGAATTCTATTTAAATAAAACCACCAGAGAAACTGTGAGGGAGGAACATTGACAAATAAGGGCCTACATGAACTGATTATTTTGGGCTTTTGGTAAGACCTGCTGCCCAATGTTAAGCTGTGCTTCAGCTGCTCCCTAAAGGATTTTAAACAACTCTAATGGAGTTATGCATTGGTCATTCTCAAGCATTAATACCTATACAGCATATTTATCCCTCAGCTGTGGGAGTCTGGATCTTAATGTCTTATGAGCTCAAGCATTTCTAGTTTCTTTTGGGTAAATGTTTGAAAATCTTCAAAAAGATTATGTGAAGTTGAACTGAATGCCTGGCAACTCTTCAATTCCACACTGTCTCTTCCATACTTGGCTGTCAAAGACATCAGATAAATTTTCTTTCAAGGGTTCATTTCTTAATTATGCTGGTACTTAGAAAGGGTACATTTCCTTTTCCTTTTTTTTTTTTTTTTTTTTGAGTCTCTGAGAGAAAGTCATAAATTGGACACTAGAGCTGAGAATTACTAAAGAGCCAAAGATCCAGGGAAACCTGGTCGATTTAATATCTGATTTTCTTCCAGCCATCAGAAAGGCTCATCTTGAGTTCATATTATGAAAGGGAAACAGGGTTGGACCTGCAGACTGAAAAATGCTGGGAAAGAAAAAGAGGGATCTGCAAGAATGACTCCAAAGGAGGAAAGGAGAAGGTTCTCAGCTTTCTCTAGGTAGCACTCCATGGTCCCATAGTCTACAAAGCCAGTAGAACTGGCATGCAGTAAGTACAGATGCTTTGTATATGCAATACAGATGCCGTGTCCCCATTTTCTGTTATATTTTATGTCCCTGGCATGTGACAGATGTTCAATGAGTATTTGTGGAAGAAACTAGTAAGTGAATAAGTGAAGGAGTCATAGTTTCTAGAGTGTTCAAACTAAAGAGACCTCAGAGATAGATGCTTCTGCTTTTAGAACAGAGAGACTTCAGGGTGAGTGGCTTGCACAGTCAAGCCGCCTCCTTAAACAAGATTGAGTTTTGAGGCTCTCTCTGTAATGGCAATCATGAGGCAAGGGGTCCTCTTCCTTGCCTGAGCAGCAGGACTGTGTCATGACACAAAGGCTTGTTCCTGTGGGAACCCGGGTACCAGCTATGTGATTGGGTTGAGGAGCCACTTTTTAAATGAGATCCCCAGACATCATGGTATTTGAACCTTGCTATTGCTGCCTTGGAGATCATCACTGTGGCTTGGGGAGAAGAACCCCAGAGGCCCAAGTCACAGGAGAATGGTCCTCTCCAACAGAGTGCAATCTACACTTAAAGGGGCAGGGCCACAGAGAAGCACAGGAGACCCTGGTGCTGCTTTCTGTATGTCTGTCACTCCCAGTTCTGAACAAGCAGAGAGAGAAATTGAAAGACCCTGGTGAGCTCTACATTTTTCTTTTAGTTCTCTCCTTCTGAAGATTTTCTGTATACCTGCCTGACACAGCACAGCAGGAGTCCTGGACATTGTGGTTTGGAGCTCGCTCTCCTGGATCTTGAATAAGCCTCAGCTTTGCCCAGTGAGATGTGAGTCACATTCCATGAGTCCATGAAACAAGGATTCTTGCTCTGTAGCTGCCTGTGGCTTCGTGACCCTTGTCTCGTGGGATACCACTCTTTGTCTTTGATGTCTTAAGAATATTGTCAAGTACATAGAAAAAATAAATGTAGAAAGTCCTTAACTTTGGATGGGTTATATTCCAATAAACCCATCATAAATCAAAACGAGCATTTTGTAGGCCTAATGGGATTCAAAGACACAATATGCAAAATTGTTGGCAACATAGTACATGGTGGAGCGTAGGTGCTTACCCTTCTGTGTGCTGCCACTCCCAGCATCATAAGGGAGTATCTTCCCACAGAGAACTAGCCCAAGAAAAGATCAAAATTCAAAATTTGAACTACAGTTTCTACTGAATATGTATCACTTTCACATCATGGTACAGTAAAAAAAAAAAAATCACAGATTTAACTAACATAAATTGGGGACTGTTTGTATGCAGTGGTAATACAAAAGTTAGGAAACAAAAAGCATCAATGTTTCTTTAAAAATCATCTGGAAATAACTATCTGGGTACTAGCCTTAGAGTCTCAGGGAGTGCTTTCAAAAGCTAGACGCTTCTGAAGGCATATTCTCATGGAATCCTTACATTAGTTCAAAGGTAGATATTAGCTCTGCTTTCATCTTATTGATGGATAAACTGGGTCCAGATATGTTTCCAAAGTCAACTGAGAAGGAAGTTGAGCTGGGATTCATGACAGAGGTGTTTCAACCCAGACCACACCCACATGTACCCTGACCTCACACATTTCAGAGTCTAGATTGTAAGGGAGGTGAGTGTGGAAAGCTCCGACTGAACTTCTCAATCAGCAGGGATTGGAGAAATTAATGATAACACCATACATGAACATGAAAAAGAGAAAGAGAGAGCATGCATGTACACACACACGTGTGTGTGTATGTGTGTGTGTCTTTGGGTGGCTCTAACATCCAAGTAGGACACGGAGTGATGGAAAGTTGGAATGGGAAGACAAATGAAGGGAGGGAAGCAGAAATTTAATGTATTGTTTGCCTGTTCTGTATCCAGAACTGCACTTGGCAATTTACATACAGTAATTCATATAATCTCCATGGCAACACTATGGAGTAGATATTATTATTCTCACTATTTTATAGATGAGCAAATGGAGACAAATGAAACAAGCATAGAAAATCAGGCATTCCTCCATTTACACCGGGGTTAAAGCCAGAGATTTCTATAAACTTAAATATTTTGTTGTTTTTATCGCTGTTGTCTTATAGTTGCTAGTATTTCAAACCCATTAAAAGTTTCAGAGCCTTCATTGTGTTTAACTAGAGACCAGAACACAGAAGCAGAAAATACTTTTCACACAGGAGGAGGGAGAATCAGGTATTAACAGATGCAATATTTGGAGAGCGTAAGAAGGAAGCAAGACTATAAAGAGAATAGGCTCTTGTGGATCCCCACCCTGGACTCGCCTCGAGAATAAAAAGAGCCATGTCTCCCTCCTTCCACTGCCTTATTTCCAGACATTAGCCATATTTAATTTGGACTGTGAGGACAGGTGGTGTTTTGTGCCTTGATTACCCAAACAGAAGCCGTGCGGAAGCATTGGAGTTGGTCTCTTACCTGCCACGCATGTGCCTAACAGTAATCTTGGTTTGAACTAATTCATTTTTCAAGTGTATCCCTTTGTACTGGGCCTCGGACACTGGAGGGGCCATTGCTACTCTAAGTCAGGTGAGTTTGATTGGAATATTGAAGCTGTGCACACTCATTTTAGTGCTTTCTCAGGTCTACATCTATATCAACCAACCTAGTTATGGGTTTCCACAATTCTCTTCCCTCATTAACCTTCCTTCTCCCCATTCCATTTGCCCCCATTCCAGGGCCCTGAGAACCTTGAGAGGTTTTAGAGCACTTGGCCAGGGTCTCACTGTTGAAAGTTGCTGAAACCCAGAACTGCATCTTTTCTGAATCCCTCCATGTGACTAAAGATGACCCAGGACCAGCCTACTGTTTCTGGCCTAAAACTCAACCTTCCGTCTTCATCTCTTTCAGACCCAGATTCTCCTCAATGCCAGCATCCAATTTCACAGCTGTGACAGAGTTTACATTTGAGGGTTTCTCTGTTTTTGAGTGGCATCACAGAATCATCCTGTTTGTGACCTTTTTGGCTTTGTACCTGTTGACCCTTGCCAGCAATGCCGTCATCTTGACAGTTATCCATCTCAACCGTCAACTTCATACACCCATGTACTTCTTCCTGAGTGTGCTCTCCATTTCTGAGACCTGTTACACAGTCGCTATCATCCCCCGCATGCTGTCCAGTCTCCTCAGTCCCCAACAAGCCATCTCCATTCCAGACTGTGCCACCCAGCTCTTCTTCTATCTCACTTTTGGTGTCAACAACTGCTTCCTGCTCACAGCCATGGGGTATGACCGCTATGTGGCCATCTGCAACCCATTGCGGTACTCAGTCGTCATGGGCAAAAGGACTTGCATAAAATTGGCCAGTGGATCCTGGAGCATTGGCCTGAGCACAGCTATTATTCAAGTGTCTTCTGTGTTCAGCCTGCCCTTCTGTGATGCCAACGTCATCTCCCACTTCTTTTGTGATATCCGGCCCCTAATGAAGCTCGCCTGTGCTGATACTACCATCAAAGAACTGATCACCTTGCTCATCAGTCTCTGTGTCCTCGTTCTGCCCATGGTCTTGATCTTCATCTCCTACGTCTTGATTGTCACCACTATCCTCAAGATTGCATCAGCCGAGGGCCGGAAAAAGGCCTTTGCCACATGTGCCTCCCACCTCACAGTGGTCATTGTCCATTATGGTTGTACTTCCTTCATCTACCTAAAACCTAAATCCCAAAATTCCCTGCAGGACAGGCTTATCTCCGTGACATACACTGTCATCACCCCCCTGC